TCTCCCTGGAGTGGAGTGGGGCAGGAGCAATGAGCTATGGCATCACTGCCCACGTCAGAGGGGAAGAAAAATGGGAAGTTGCAAAAGTTCAAACAGTCACTGTTTGCAACATCACACCCAGAATTTGGTGGTTGCCATAGGGACTTGATCCGATGGGGCAGGAGGAGACACTGAGGCTTCCACAGCTCAGAGTTACTCGAGTGATCTTCAAAAGAAAGTGAGAAGGAAGCCTGGAAAACACTCCAATTCCAGGAGAGATTGTTTGGATCAGTGTCCTGAGTGGTTCTCCTGCACCTCCTCTCCTCCCACACCACCTCCTGCCTGCCAGGAGCTCTCCCAAGGGCAGGATCCCTCTCTGCACAAAGGGAAGTGCCCAGCGAGGCAGGAAACAGCAGGAAGAGGAGTTCCTGGCACAATTCCATGCTGAAATCCTTGGCTCTCCGCCACAGCACCTCTTGGTGCCACCCAGTTCTCACAGGCAGTGACTTGTCTGTTCCTCTTTCCCCCAGTCCTTGGCTCTGAGCATCCAGGCAGGCACAACTGGGCTGGAAACACAGCACAGACCTGGATTTCAGCTGGAAAACCAGGAAATGGGGCATGGATTGAATGGCTGCTGTTTGTAGGAGAGTGGGAAAGGAGCAGGGAAGTGAAATTCCCAATAGCATTGTGCACAAAGGCAGTGCCTATGGCATTCCCATCACAAAGAGGGATGCAGGACATCCATCCATAGTGGCTGGGCACTGGAACAATTCCCTAGGGAAGTGGTGATGGCTCCAAGCCTGGAAGAGCCCCAGGAGTGCTGGAACAATGGTAAAAAGTGGGATTTTGGGATAATCTGTGCAGGGACAGGAGTTGGACTTGATGATCCTTGTGGGTGTCCCTTCCAGCTCAGGAGATTCCATGACTCTAAGCATGGACAAGGGAATTAACTGGGGAAGGCCAGAGATAAGGCAGGTGGGAATGTGTGAAGGGAGAGGAAAATCCTGGGAATCCTGCAAGGGGTGGATCCTGTCGGAGAACAACCCTTTGAGGGGTGAGTTTGCCATGGAAAAAGGAACATTCCAGCAGTGTTTGCCTGCAGGGAATTGCTGAGCTACAGCAGTGCTGGTGTGGAGCAACTTCCTGAGGCTTTGGGACAGGAAGGACAACTCTGTGGGGCACTGGGCAGGGAGATGCCATGGGGGGTACTATGGGGTCACCCGGCCCTGGCACAAGGCAGGATGGGACTCATCCTCACTGGGTTGGCTTGTGGCACACTCAGGACCCCAGATCCCATCTCAGCTGGATCATCAGGACCTACACCAGCAACTCCTTCCCTCCCCAGTTTGCTCCTTTTCTCCTGCTGCCTTCATCCTCCTCTTCCTCCAAAGCCATCCAGACCCACATTCCTCCTTCAGCTCCACTTACTCCCCACAACTCCTTAAACTTCCCTCCTCTTCACACCTTCCCATTCAATTCTTCCCTCCTTCCCCCTCCAATCCATCCTTTTTCTCTCTTTGAACACTCCTTGCTGCAAATCTACACAGGAATCCAAGGCAACTCCTGTCAGCCCTTCCCTTGATCCAAGCCCTGCCAAGGTGTTCCAGATTTAGAAGGTTTCTGCCTCATTTTCCAGCTCTGCACAGCACAAACCTTCAGGTACTGAGCTGGGACACACCTAAACCTCCTTTATAAAGCTCTTCCCAACTCATTTTCCAATGGTTTCAAAGCTTAAATTGAGAGGAGTTTTCAGGTGGCCTCAAAATCACCTCTCAGAGTGGCAAATATTTCTTGGGAGAGAGACTCAGGCCATGGATTTAGGAGGGGAAAACAGACGCAAGTGATTTGCTCCTGAAAGGAAGAGTTTAATCCCTGCACTAACCTGTGCCTTGGAAACAGATGAGGCAATTAGCCTGAGAGCTCATTAGGAGTGTGTCTGCCTAGGCAGAACCTTCCAGATGTGCAGCAGCTGTGTGGGTTTAGGAGCAGAACAGGTTTGGATGCTGTGAGGAGTCAAGGACAGGAGGGAATGGGAACTGTGGCTATTGATCAGAGATCCCATGCTGGAGATTATTGCTCAGCACAGATTTAGTATCAGGACTTGGTTTCTCTTGGGTGATGAAGGTGACAGTTACCACCTGATCTAACAAACATCACTCAAGTGGTTCTGTCCCTGAAAACATCAGCAAACTCTTCCAAATTGGACTCAATCCTTCCCTGTCAGAGTGCTGAGGCACTGGGATGGATTTCCCAGAGGATGTCCCATCCCTGGGAGTGTGCCAGGCCCAGGTTGGACAGGGCTTGGAGCCACCTGGGCTGGTGGGAGGTGTCCCTGCCCATGGCAGGGGGGAGGGTGGAATGGGGCTTAAGGTCTCTTCCATCCCAAACTATTCCAGGATTCTGGATCCCCTCTGCCCTGGAGGTAGGCTGGGAGAGCTAAGGGTGTTCACCTGGAGAAGAGAAGCTCCAGGGAGACCTCAGAGCCCCTTCCAGTGCCTAAAGGAATTCCCCCCTGTGAGGTGCTGAGACACTGGCACAGGTTTCCCGGAGCAGCTGTGGCTGCTCCATGCCTGGGAGTGTTCCAGGCCAGGCTGGACAGGGCTTGGAGCAACCTGGGCTGGTGGGAGGTGTCCCTGCCCAGGGCAGGGGCGGAACGAGATGAGCTGTAAGTTCCCTTTCCATCCAAGCTATTCCAGGATTAAATCCACCCACAAGGAAAGTGGTTTACCCCAATACCACACAGAGGGAAGACACACATCCACCCAGTCTGCCCAGTCCCACCCAGTGACCCACCACACCACCAGGAGCTGGGAATGGTTCCTTACTAGGAAGCAGAGTCGTTGAGCTGGTATTCCCTGGATCTGCTGAAGCAGGCCTGGACTCCAGGGTCTCTCCAGAGCCTCTTGATGACTCCTGCCAGTTCAGGGGTCATCACTCCCTCCTCAGCACTCCCTGCCAGCACGAACAGCTGTCGAGCATCATCCTAGGGAACAGGGAATTCGGGATGTACATCCATGGACACTGTCACAACACTGAGGTTCAACACTGGAATCAACCCTCAGGGATCTCATTTATTCCTGCTTTCATTAATCACTCCCCTCTCTCATCCATCACCTCCCAAAATTCATGGAATTCTCTCTCCCCTGCAGCCAGAAAGGGAATTTTTGGGAGTAACTCCAGCCTGTGGGATGAGATGCCCTCAGCAGGGGTGGCCACAGTGGGATCACCGCTCCCAAGGCAGCATTCTCATCAAACCCATGGATTGCAGTCACTGGTGCAGTGTTTTGGGGAAAAAAAGGTTGGAATGCTGATGGGATACCACAGACTAAGGATCTAAACCAGAGGATTTTGCCTGGAAAAGCTCCTTCAGTGTGGCACAGCTCAGTGCCAAGGGAAAATCCAATCTCAGAGCAAGTCTGGGATCACGACAGGATTAAAGCTTGGGGATTGGCCATTTGTTGCCACAGCTGCTGGAAGTGAGGGGCGCTATTCCTTCCTGATTCCTTTCCCTGGGAGATGGGATCGAAGGAGAGGGACTTGAGGATGAAAAATTCCCTCAGAAGTCAGGGCAGGATCTCCCTCATGGACAAGTTCCTCAGCAGACTGGGGCAGTGGAACCTACAGCCAGCTCTGCTCTCATTCCTTCCCTGCTCAGCCCCATCAGGTCCGTCTGGGAGTTGGGAGAGACCTTCCACTATCCCAGGAATTCTCTCACCTTCAGGCTCCTCTGCCCTGAGCCCCAAACCAGGGGCCAGGTGTGCCCAGGGGAGAGCCAGGAGTGCCCTCAGGGGCATCCCAAAGAGCCACAGCACCCAAATCCTTCATGGGGGCTGAAACAACAGCCACAGCACCCAAATGCTTCATGGGCTGTGAAACAACCACAGGATGAGCTCTTCAGCCAGGACTGATACCATAAATTCAAAGTACTTGTCATAAATTCAAACTCTCTGTGGCTGGCACAGGGAATTAGTGCCAGGCAGCAGCTGGCACACCCTGGACAGTGCTGGCACACACAGTTCCCCTCTCCTACACATTTCTAGGAGTTCTTGCCTTCCCACTCTGTCTGTGCCTTCCCCACCACCACAGGATCAAAGAATCCTAACTTCCATTTCAAAGTGCTGCAGGTTGAGTGCTAGGAACAGTCCAAGGAATGAGCAGAGCTGGAGGAGAGGGAAAACAAGGGAAAACATCCCAAAATCTCCTCCAAAACCAAGAGGACAAGGACCAGTGGCGAAAACTATCAGATTTCTTCGGCTCTGATGGAAAGAGTTAAAGATTCTGATTGAAGAATTCCTTGGCACAAGGCTGGGAAACACAGAAGGGTCATGTGAGGCAAACCCAAAGCTGAGAATGTTGTTAAAATTCCAATAATTTTGAGGAAAAAAAAAAAAGGGATTTTATTCTTTTGGAGCATTCAAACTCTTGAAAGCTCTTCCCCAGAAACTCGGTGGAATATTTGAGGCTTTGCCCTGGCAACACACTAAGGTTGTGACCAAACCTATGTAACAAACATATTCCCACTGTATCCTGGAATTCCATGATTCATTCCCAGCAAGAGCAAGGAAACAAGTGGGATACTTACAGCTCTGGCAACTTCCCCAAAGTCTATCTTTAGCCTCCCCATGGCTCTGATGATGGCAATGATGGACTGGATGGTGTTGCTGTACACAACCACTTTGTACTGTTTGCATTCCTCCTCGGAGTAGCCATCCTCATGGATAATCCTGGAAGGAGAGCAGGATGTCATTCCCAAGCCAAACCAGAAGGACAGCACAGATTTCCTGTCCCATCTCCCAGATACAGGCAGTTGGCAGCCTGCACTCACTTACTTCATCTGCTTCACGATGGTGCTTTTCCCAGACTCTCCAGCACCTGGAAAGCACAAACAGATCCAGTTAACCACAGAAAATCCATAGGAAAAGTGGAATGTGCTTTTCCCAGCTGTCACAGAGAGGTTGGTGGGGTCTGAGAAAGATATTCCTTGTGTATTGCTGCTGGTGGAGCTCCAGGATGTCCTGGCACAGCCTTCCCTGGTTGGATTTCCAGATGCAAATAGTGACCTTGAGGTAATCTGTTGAAAATCCTCAGGAATTCTGGATTTCCAGAGGAAGGCAGGGCTGAAAAACTGGGATGAGGATTTCTCCATCCCTCCCTTCCAGCTCAGGAACTCCAGGCCACAACAGTCCTAAGGGTCATCATCACCTGCTCCAACTACTCCTGAGCTGTAGGAAAAGGCCTTCAACAAACAGGTGGATAATCCCAGAGCATTTTTCCAAGGAATTCAGAAGCAATTGTGCGTGAGGGACAGAGGAAGGGAAGCAGAGCCAGAACAGAGCTCCTAGTGCTCAGCCCTGACACACTGGAGCGGTCAGTTACCCCTGGAGAGGGATCAGTTACCTCTTAAATCCAGCAAAAATCCAGCAAATTCCCTGGTTTTCACAGCTTTTCATGCTGGATCAGGACAATCCCAAACCATGTTCCTCCTGCACCCTTGGAGCAGCAAATACTTCCCTTTGGATTCCAAACCATCACTGGTTTCTGGAGCTGAGTAGAGCTGCCCACACACCTGTCCCAGCCAGGAGCATCCCAAAGGTGGGAATGGTACTCCTGGAATCAGTAGAGGTGTCTCTGGAGTCAGCTCTGGGGACTCCACCTGGGGTGACAGGCACAACCAGCCCATGGCCTTGGGGCTCCTCAGCCTCCAAGGTTCCCCCTGAGTTGCACTTCTGGGCTGGCTGGAGGCAAAGGAATGATGGTGAACCTGTTGGTGGGATATGGATACAGGACTCAAAAGAGCCTGGATGGACTAAAAGACCCATGGAATGAGTTGGGAGGAACTTAAAGATCATCTAGTCTAATGCCTGCCATGGGCAGGGACACCTCCACCAGCACAGGTTGCTCCAAGCCCTGTCCAACCTGACCTGGAAT